AGAGAGGGTGAAACCAGGCTGCTCCTTGGAGGCAAGGTTCTAAGGCTTCATTTGCAATAGTTTGGGCATGTTGCAAGGAGGGACCAGTCCTTGGAGAGGGACATCATGCTTGGGAGCAGGGAGGGACAATGCAGGAGAGTAAGAGCCTTGATGAGAAGAATTGATTCAGTGGCTGGGTTAATGGGAGTAGGTATGTCAGAGACAATAAGGTTGGCACAAGCTAGAGCCGGTATCAAGGCTATTGTACAAAAGGTTGAGTCACAAGCGACTTGACAGCATGTAACAACATGACTAGAAAATGTATCCTCGCCCTCCACTGCTTCATGGCTGTTTCGGTGACTCTGCTTTTGTCCAGTGTCCGGAGGCTACACTGCAGCGCGTTGGCTCGGGCTGGCAGTCACTGGCAGCTCCAGCAAAGTTTGGCTGCAACCCCTCCAGGTCCGGGCCCCTTCCAGAGCGTCCAGACTGGTACATGGATGGTCGGCCTGCTCCTCCAATGAACGGCCAGCTTCGAAGAAAAGCCCAAAGCGAGAAGTTTGCAAGACGAGTGGTGTTGCTCACAGGAAATGGAAGCTGGATTACAGGCATGGCAGCTCAGGGAGCAGCAGAAATTGCAGGAAGAAGGAAACAGAAATATGCTCTTAAACCCAAAGGGGCTTTACTACAGAGCCCGCTTCCATGTCAATAAAAAGTAACTTGCCTTTTCTAAAAAAAAAAAAAAAGTATCCTCAAAATTACACTGCAAACCTGGGAAACAATGCTATCTGGGGCTGTATGGGAGCCTGCTGAAAGATGTGCTGGAGTGCTCAGCCTGGGCAGGTGTCCTTGTGTGGGCACACAGCCTCTGCAGGTGTAGTTGAGGTCACACAGGTTAGGGAGGCCTTATGAGGAGTAGCTCTGGCAAGTTTTATGGTACAGTTTTCTCTAGAAACATACAGTCCAACAACCGTATGTTGGACGGTAGTATGAAAATGCTGGAGGGTCAGCTATGAGTCTGTTCCAATTCGGCAGTACCTAACAACAACCTGTGTGACACTAGGGAGTGCTGGTGGCTCAGTGTGTGGAGTTGCCTTGTCAACCCAAAGTTAGGTACTTTGAATCCACTAGCTGCTCCACAGAAGAAGTAAATGAGCAGTCTCACCCTGTGAGATTCACCGCCTCTGAACTCACTGGAGGGTCCGCTGAGTCAATTCCAACTCCATGGTACTTAACAACATATATTAATTACAGGAGGTGCCCCAGTGTGCTGTGACTTGGGCTGTCATGTGAGGGTTAAAATCACGTCAATGTCGCCATGGTTCTTACTGCTGTAGCTATCCTGTGTGTAACCTCTGATGCTCATGGGGCAGGAGTAGAGGTGAGGTCTGTCCAGCCTGATCTGAGGAAGGGGTTGGGTTGCCTTGGGGGTGTGGCCTGCATTGAGTATGTTTGAACCCTGGCTCTGCCCAGCCTGATCTGAGAAACGGTTACCTTAGGGGTATCTGAACTCTGGCAAAAAGAATTTTGTCTAATTTGGTGTCTGGTTCATGACCTCCAGACTCGACCTTGCAGTCTGATGCATCAGACTGCGAGCCCTCAATCCCCAGTGCTTCTGAGACCCAGCTGCAGGGTTCCAGCTGCTGGTCTTTTTGCTTTGCTGCACACATGCACTCCCCACACTCACACACAGAGACAGCTGTTGTTATGTGCCTTCAAGTTGAAATGAACTCACAGCTGACCCTTCAGTGGGTTTTCAGAGGCTGGTAAATTACACAAGAGATTCCCTCTTTCCCATCCTACAGCTAGTGGATTTGAACCACTTGCCTTAGAGTTGGTAGTGCAATCCCTTACCCACTAGGCCACCATGTTCCTAGGTGCTGTCTACCCAAGTATGACTCACAGCTGCCCTAATAATGAAAGCTCTGAACCCAGTCCTATCCTGTGCCATCTTCACAATCTCTGCCACCTTTAAGCCCAGTGCTGCAGTCACTGTCAGTCCATCTGGTTCGGAGTCTCTCCTTCATCGCCCTCCCACCCTTCTAAGCACGATGTCCCTCTCCAAGGAATGGCCCCTCTTAGCAACATGCCCAAAGCAAGAGGAAACGTCACCATTCCTACCTTGAAGGAGCACTCTGACTGCACCTTCTCCAGGGTGTAGTTTTGGCAGTTCATGGGCTATTCAGCACTCTTCGACACCACCACAGTGCAAAGGCCATCACAGATATACATACGTCGTGGTGGCATGCGCTATCGAGTCACAACCAACTCATAGCTGACCTTCTAGCTGTTTTTCCGAGGCTGTAAATCATGATAGGAAAGTGCTCATCTTTCTCTCATGAAGCAGCTGGTGAATTCAAACCAAGGACCTCTAGGTTGGCAGTGCAGTTCCTTACCACTGAGGTCTCCCATGGGATTTACTGCCTCGGAAAACCTGTGGACAGTGAGCTATGAGTTGGTCTGGACCTGATGGTACCGAACAGCAGCACGCATTTCTCTAGACAAACCAGTCTACCACTTTAGAATTGAATGGTCCCGCCAAAATGGTTTGCTTGGTTGAGCCGTGGTTCTCAGTGTCTTGGATGTAATGTGGCAACGGTGTAATGATTCCTACGATCTGAGGCAAAAGAATTAAGGGTGAGATGGCACACCCTTACTTCTGCCATGGCCCAATCATACGAGTGGGGAGCTTCCGTGAGGCGTGGTCCTTTTATCCTCCAAGAGGCAGGAGGTAGAGGAAAGTGGAGCGGGGGACCGCAGCACAACTGAGGAGCCGGGCAGAGCTGCACTCTCGCTCCAGGTCCCTGTGCTGGGAACATCCTCACCTCTAAGGCATGCTGGGCTCCTGACGCTGCAAGGACATGAGGACCTCCGGGGCTGGCACAGACAAGGCCTATCGGGAGAGCTGGTACCTTGAACTTGGACTTCTGCCTCCTAAACTGTGTGAGAATAAATTCCCATTAAACTCATCCTCTTGTGATCAAAGTGTTAGAGCAGCCTGCAATGACGAACCTTCCAGCTGCTTCTCTGGAGGAAGATAAAGGAGTTTTCTTCTTTAAAGCTTGACAGCCTCGGAGGCCCGGGCTGCTGTCCTCCTCCGTCCTGTGTGTCACCGTCAACCTGACAGCAGTGGGCTGGGCTTGGGTTTAGTTTCAGTGAAAAGGATAGTTAAGTGCAGAATTTACAAAGGACAATTTATTATGATAAAAAAAAAGTTGTAATAAAAGACAGCTCAGTCACCAGTGATAAGAATCAAAAACAGAGGTTCTATAGAGCCATCCTGGCGAAGTGGTTCTCAGTGCGGTTGGCCGCTGTGGCCATCCCCGACTCGGGGACCCCATGTGACAGAAGCGCCTGGTGTGGCGCTGACCCGTGACTCACGGCAGAACTACAAGATTTTCACTGGCAACAACTGGGCTTAAACGATTGCAAGGATGGGCCAGGCCCTGGCGGCGCTGCCTCTGCTGTGCACAGACGTCCCTATGACCGGCTTCGCGGCCCCTAACTCGCAACCCTGAATCCCTCTACCTCTCGGACGTGGTCACTAAGGGCATGCAGAACGAGCACCTTGCCATGCTCAGTGACCAAAGACAACGAAGGGCCAGTCACGGAGTCCTTACAGAGATGCTGATCACACAGTCCACACTCAAACGTCTCCGACTAGCGTGGAAGCGCAGGGACAGAAGTACAGTCAGCCCACTGGCTCGCCTGCAGCCCACCCACCTCACAGCAGCCAATCCGGTTACAGCGGCATCTCAGCTCAGCCAATCGGAGAAGGGGCGGCTCTCCCACGCCCAGCAGGACCAATGGGAAGGCAGCCAGGTCCTCTGGGGGTGGGCCCTATTTGTGTACGCGCTTGCACATGGTCCTGGTGGAAGGGCCGCCCTTGAGCAAGTGGACAGGGGTCACGGAAGCCTTGTGCCAGGCGGCGGCTGAGTCAAACCATCTGACCAGGCTTGGCTCTGGTCTGGCAGACGGCGCCTACTCGCCAGCCCGAGGCGCCCGGTGAGGATGCACATGGCCCAGGGTCCGCGGCGGCGGGCTCGAGGACCCAGGGGCGCTAGCAGGTCGGTCCTCTCGCCCTAAAGCAGGCCGGTCGGGCGCCCCCGCCTGTCGGCCATGGAGCCGGGCCGCGCGCCCGCGAGCGCGCCGCCGCCGTTCGTGCGCGTCGCGCCCGCGCTTTTTCTGGGGAGCGCGCGCGCGGCAGGGGCCGCAGAGCTGCTGTCGCGCGCGGGCATCACGCTGTGCGTCAACGTCTCCCGCCAGCAGCCGGACCCGTGCGCATCCAGCGTGACCGTGCTGCGTGTGCCCGTGTTTGACGACCCGGCCGAGGACCTGTTCGCGCACCTGGAGTCCACCTGCGCCGCCATGGAGACCGCGGTGCGCGCTGGCGGCGCCTGCCTCGTCTACTGCAAGAACGGCCGCAGCCGCTCCGCCGCCGTCTGCACCGCCTTCCTCATGCGGCACCGCGGCCTCAACCTAGCGCAGGCCTTCGAGGTGGGCGGGCCTTCCGGAAGACCGGATCCAGTCTCGAGAGCGGGACTTTGAGCGGGGCGGGCCTTCCGGAGGGCTGGTGCAATTGCGCGGCCTGGACTTGTGGGCGGGCCTTCGCGGTGCGGATTCGGGGGCCGGGAGACGGACTTCCGGATAGGGTAGCGCTCTAGTCCTGGGGCGGGTTGTTGGGAAGCCAATCCAATCACAGGCCTTCTGGTAGGACGCTACCCAACCATGGGCCGGACTTCTGACAGGGCGGGGTCTAGCTGTAGGGGGCGGGCCTTCCCAAGCTCCGCCCCGAGCTGTGCCGACACTGTCCCCTGCTTCCTCCAGAAGGATGGGCAGTTCCTTCTGCGATCTACAGTCTCTTTAAAACCCTCGGAGGGTCAGATAGGAGTCGGTTCTGCCTGGACGGCCGTGGCTTTGAGTTTTTGTAAATCCCATGCAGTCTGGGGCTTCGAATAGCATGCATGCCGTGGTCCTCGTTCCGTTCAGACCCGTCCTCTGAGACAGGCATCTAACATCATATATTTTGATTCCCTAACCTGCCATCCTTTCTCCTTTATTCCAATTCCAGTCTCTCCTCTAGGTTGTTCACCTGCCTTCACCGTGAACTCAGCTGCCCCCCTCCCATGCTGTGCCTTGCTAGCCTTTGCATCAGGTCACACCCTAAGTCCCACATTGCTCGCTCCCCTCCTGCCCTTGTCCCTGCGGTAGCCAAGATATTCTGTCAAAGCAATATCAGCCCTGGCAGCGCAGTAGTCAGAGGACTCGGCTGCTAACTGCACGCTCAAGATTTGAACCCACCAGCTGCTTCTGTGAGAAAGATGTGCTTTGGCGCAATGGGAGCCCGACAGGGCAGTTCTAGTCTGTCCTGCAGAGTCTCCAGAGCCGGCCTTGGCTTCCCATAGGCTAGATACTCTACTGCTCCAACCTGTGCTTCTTGACTTTCGGAGGTCCGGCTGTGTCACCTCTCTGTGCCCACCACCTCTCTGTGCCCGCCTGGCTCACTCATTCAAGTCTCTCTGGCCAAGGGAGCCTCAGGCATTTGCATCGACTGATTCCTCTGCCTGGAACATTCTTCCTTCCTCCTGTTCCACACCTCAAGGTTCCCAGCCCAGAGCCACATGTCAGCTTCTCTGGGTACCCTTGCTGACCCCGCTTTCTAAAGCAGCAGCTCTCTCTAGGCTCGAGTTTATCTCTGGAGAGGTCAATAATCCCTGCTCATTCTATTGCCCACATGGAGTGTGATTTCCATGAAAACTGGGGTGCTCTTATGCTGTTCACTGCTGTATCCCCACATTAAGATTTTGTCAGAATCCCACAGCACTTTCCGAGTGCCTGCTGATGCTCAGGGAAGTTAAAGGACTGCATTCACCAGCAGGCCGTTCAGTTAAAGGAATTAGTGAGCTTGTGATTTCAGGCAGCTGAGCTAAGAAAATGGACCCTGGTGGTAGGGTAGTTCAAGTCTTTGGTTGCTGAAAGGTCACTGTTTGAACCCACCAGCCAGGTGATGGGAGAAAGAAGAGGTAATCTGCTTCTGTAAGCTTGGCAACATTCTGGGCAGTTCTGCGCTAACCTGGAAGGTCGCTAAGAGTCATAGTAGATCCACTGAGAGTGGGGTTTGGTTTGGTTTGTAACCAGTCCCAGAAGGAAGCCCAGGGGGGTTTTGGTGGTGAGTGTAACCCAAAGGTGGCCCCTGTCTGGCCACTGGAATCCAGCAGCTCTGGGGACCAACATGGGCAATCTCCTCCCACGCAGTGTGCAGCCCTGGGAACCCACTGAAGGGCCAGCTGCGAGTGGATTCCACCTCAGCTGAAATGAATTGGAGGTTTTTGCTAGAAAAACCAAATTGAGCAGATACATGTTTCTAGGCATCTGCAAGGGATGCCCAGCCCACCTGAGGGATGTCTGGCATGGGGTGCCCACTTTTTTTGATGTAAAATATTTTTATTTTTGCAGACCGAAGTGTCCTGTAGGACTACATATGGAAGTGGCTTAACATAAATCAGCTTGTAATACGTCCGCTTTCCTCTGGCAAGGCCATGTGGAGGAGCAGGGGCGCTGGCATAACCCTGCCTCATCTCTTGTTTGCAGGCGGTCAAGCGTGCCCGTCCCGTGGCTGAGCCCAATCCAGGGTTCTGGTCTCAACTCCAGAGGTTTGAGGATCAGCTGCGGTCTCAGACGCCACCAGGTAGAGTGCTTCCCAGCCAGGACCGGCCCCTGGAGGGTGCAGACAACCTCTGGGGTGACTCCATTGTTCAGTCTTTGTGGATAGCACCCCTCAGATGCCCTGCAGCTCTCAAGGAGAGGGAAGATGTGGACACTGGTTGGACAGTGTCCTCCATCATGTCCTCCTGTCAGGACAGCTACTTCACCAGCTTTCACATCCCCTTGAGGCTTTATCTCCCTGAAATAGAGCTTAGTGGTGCATGTCCCCTGAAAGAGGCCTCAGCGGCCCATACCTGCTGACAAAGATTCCTACCAGGGCCACTGGGACTTACTGGACAGGGTTTGGTCAACAAGTGAAAAACACTGAAGAATCATAGGCCAAAAGAAAGTGAAGGGTGGGGAGCCAGCGTCAACCCTGGGTTACCCAGAAGGACCCTGCTGCCAGACTCCAATCGGCCGGCTGCCGCAGCAGTCATATCCCTCCTGGGACCCCGCACCCTGAGTACTGGTCACATCACAGAACCAAGCACAGGGACAATCCGCTCCCAGTGGCTACAGCACGCGGGTGAGGGCCACCCTGGCTGCTCAGGGTCCATGCCCTCCTTTTGCCTTCCTTAGCATCTCCATCTATAGCAGCTTCGTGCTCCAGCTAGGCCATGTTACCCCTGCCAGACTGACAGCACAGGATGCCACTGTCCCCTTCAGGAGTGGAGGTTGGAAACCCTGCCTGTCACTGAGTTTGTCTAAATGTGTGGATTCCTCTTCTAGCTCAGACACAGTTTCCTGACCACCCGGGACCTGAAGACCCAGCCGTTGGGGAAAAGGGGAAGGCAGGCATGTCCCCTGTGTGAGCTGCAGACGACTGTCATTGGCTTGCACATGCGCTGTCTGGACATGGCGGTGCCCTGCCCTGGTTGGTGTCATTTCCTCTCAGCCTTCTGTCCTCAGGCCATATCGCATCAGCGCAGAATGAATCCCGCCTGTCCAGTGCCGGCTGCACTCTCGCTGCTGTGCTTGAACGCAGGCTGCAGCCAGTGTCGGACCATGGCGGTCCACCCTTGAGGGGCTTCCCCTATTTGCTGACCCTCCACCACACATGATGTCCTCCTACAGGGACTGGGCCCTTCTGTTCTGCTGTCATTCACAAGGTTTCGTGAGCAAATCGCTTCAGAAGTGAACCACCAGCCTTGCTTCCTTCTTTCTGAATTTGGAAGTTCCCCTGAAATCTGCCCACCATGGGTGACCCTGCTGGTCTTAGAAATACCACGGCCTCCCATCCAGCATCGTACCAGCCCCCTCAGTAGGACGTATTGGCAGATGAGTGAGGTCAGCTTATGCCCCCTCCCTCCACCTTCAGCTGGGGCTTCAGCTGCCTGTGGGGATGGGGGTGGGGGGTAAACTGACACCTTTCCACAAGGGCCTGAGGGCTGAGTGGTGGTCCTGCAGTGGGCGTTGGGGCCTCTATTACTCCTGACCACATGACCTGGGAGACAGGATGCGCCCTCTGGCCCGGGGACTAGTACAAAGCCCACCTGCCCCTAAGAGCAGGCCTCGTCCCAGCCTGCAGCCGCTCCACACGCAGTGCTCTGACCCCTGAGGGGCTGGCTTTGGGAAGTCAATTTTCAGGCCTTTCTTCCTAGTCTGTCTTTGTCTAGAAATGTCACTGAGACGTGTTCAGCATTATGTGAGGCTCCGCTGAGACAACGTGCTGGATGGATCACTTGGCGACTCCGGGGGCCTGCGGAGCCCGCCCAGTGTGGCTCAGGGGCCTCAGCTTTCTATCCATTGGTACACGGGTGTGGTCAGGGCAGACCATCCTTCCACGTGGGGGAGAACCTCAGACCCATTTGAGCTCATGTCATGGCCACATGGCTGGACTCCCCTGGCCGTCACCTACCCACTCACTGGGCCCTCCTCTGAGCTCTGGCTGAGGTTGGCACTGACACTGGCGTCCTGTGTGCGCAGAACCAGTGACTGGCAGGGATGTCTGCCTGGTGTTCCCTCCTGGAGGGGCTGGGCCAACACTGACTCTTGTGGGCTGGAATTTGCTCAGGAAAAGATGCAGTGTGAACATACCCCTCCCCAGCAGGTACTCAGCCTTCTGGCCCCTGGCATTCTGTGAGGTGGGAGTGGGGAGAAGGCCTCACACCCTTAGGCAGTGACCCCAGCAATGGCCTCAGGTCCTATAGTGCAGTGTCCCCTTCTGCTGTCAGGGAAGTGTCCCAGATGGGGAAGGGGTCTCAACAGTTAAGGGACCTTGACAGGAGACAGGGCCCCAGGCAGGCAGGGAACAGGGGTACATGAGAGCCTGTCTCCCCTCAGTGCAGTGTGAAGTCAGGCGCACTGTCCCCCACCACCCACTCACTGGAGGTCGCAGTAAAAGGGCTTCTCAGCTCTTTCCCGTTTGAGTTTAGCACAGATCACAGGACTCTGAGCCCGAGAATCCCCAGAAGGTATGTCCCCTACTAAGGTGGGCTGTGTGGAGCTAAGGACCTGTGCGTGGGCACAAGCTCCGCTACCCACCCCCACTTTCTGGCAATTATGGCCACTTGGATCACCCTCAGGTGCCGAGGCCATGTGTCGCACCACCTCCCCATGAGCATGGTCAAATGTCCTATCCTCTGGACAGGAAGGGTCACCTGCTTCGCCTCCTGGGTGGGCACAGTCATGTGTCCACTCCCCACCCCACCCCTAGGCATGGTAACATGTGCACCCCCCCTCCCAGGGACAGATATGCTCTGGTGTCCCCAGCACCATGACTGACCACGTGTGGCAGATAAAGACACAGACTCACTCAGAGATCACCTGAGGTCCAGGGAAGTGTAACAAGGCGCCCCCACCTGACACAGTGGAGACAGGTGCCAGGCCAGCTGTCCAGATCTAAAGGCCGCTCTGTCCAAGTCCTGGAATTCCTGTGCGCTGACGCCAACTGCCTGGACGGCTTCCTCAGTCTGTGTTGACAGCCCAGCCTGATGGGCAGGGAGCTTCTGTCCTTCCCGCCCCGGCCCTGGGTGGCCCCGCTTGGGCAGCTACCTCTTCCTTGTAGAGGCCAGTGAAGAAGAGGCCCCAGAAGGGCACGTAGGGCAGGGAACAGGCAAGTAGGCCAGCTCCCACTTTCTCCAAACTGGCCCTCAGAGCATTGACCTCTGGGGCCTGCTTCCCAGACAACATGATTCAACAGACCTTTTCGGTTGGAAGGGCCACTAGCCCCTGGGCCACTGAGGTCATGGAATGTGACTAGTGCAACAGGGATTCAAACACCCACGCTGAGCTCCTGGGTAGGGGGTCCCCGCACGGTGCCGAGGGCCCGACCCTGCTCCCCGGGAACACACACAGACCGTGCCTGAAAGCAGCTCGCCCTCCGGGGCCACCACCGCGTCCACAGGAACCGTTGCAGAGGTCGCGGCAGCG